AGGTCGCAGGTTCGAATCCCGTCGGAGGCATTTTTTATTACACAATGTATTTTAAATTTACAGGATAACATTCGTCGAGAGCTATGCTGCACGATGTACCATCATTCCAACACTGTATTTACCTTTCTTCGATTATTTATATATAAGGTAACAGTGTTAACGGCTATCTTAATATTTTTATTATTATTATAATTATTATTATTATTATATATAGGCCTATATATATATATATATATATATATATATACATGTATAATAATATATATGTGTGTGTGTATGTATATAATAGTGTAGTTATTGGAGGAAATGGATGAAGTATTATGAAACCGAGGTAGCTAACTACTATGGCCTCTGTATATTATGTATGTATACACAAATATAATAATATTTAATCACTAAACACATTTCAAAACACTGAAAAGCTATTAAATTAGTTGAGCATGCCGAATTCTGCTTTATTGTCCTCTGTCAAATATCAAATAATTTCTGTTTATTGCCATGCTCAAGAAATTCTCATCAATATAAATCGATAACACCGTGCAATACTTATAGTAGCAATTATGCGGTAACAGTGACAACAAATAATCGTTACCATAGAGATATTGGTTTTATGTTTTGTCAACTCATCATATTAAGCTGTTGAACATGTTCTCAAGTCATCTTCCATTCAACGTCAGACACATATATATATATTAGAGCCTTGAACTTGCATTCAAGTCACGAATAGATTATTACTTTATGCGGCATGAAATATCAATGTATCTATACGACGATTTCATAATACTGATATGAATATTTCAAATTGTAACATTTATGTAAAATGTGTTCGTGAGTGAAATACACGATACTTATTCCCCTCATTAACTAAATCCTCATATTTATTATTTACTGATTATCCTAATGCCTGTTGTCGAATATGATTATCTTTTAGGATACTTACATTAGCTGTTGTATTGCACCATGGCGGTGCCATGCAAATGCATGGTTTAGCCATATATTATAAACCTAATTTAGATGATACTTTCTTTCTAAAAGTGTAATGCATTATGATATCGAACTTTTATATTGAATGAATCGATTATTGTCACGTGCCACTTCGATCTATTGAAACTAATATAATAGTAAAACTAGAATAGCTCCATTTAAATTCACTAATTACAAATAGATGAAGTGTAGTGAATGCTAGAAGTCATAAGTCAATTATTTCGTTACCAAGGCGAACATGGTGCACATTGCTATGGTCTTTGTAGTCATCATTAGAAACTAATAGGAAATTATTTTAATAATACAATTAAAAATTAGTCATCCAACCCAACACAATGTGAATATAATGGTTGCGAACCATGCGGCAATGCAGTTGTAATCAACGTTATTACCGATGGTAGGCCTGTTCCTCTTTTCAAAGGATCAAATTACTTTGGCTTACTTAGCTTCAAAATAACAAAAGACCGAATACATTTATTTAATGCTGATAGAATAAATAATAATAACAATGAAAAAATTAGTGAATCAATAAATATACACACACCCATACTCCACATATATAGGCATGTATGTTTTACATATGTGTTCAATATGAATGTTCATAGGCTTATTTATGGACAACATATTTGTATAGTATAGATACTAGGGCAAAAATACTTACATATGTATTATATATACAATACATATTGCAAAATACTGAAATGCAATAATGCTAGATCTACACATTATATTTTATGTTTATGTATATG